TGTCTACTTCTTGGACGTCTTAGGGCGTCGAGGGTGATCGCAGTCTTCATCTTTGCGACAGGTCTGTGTTGTCTCACATCTACACTCTATAGCTTCGGATTAAATCTATTAGCTTTGGAATTCACCTTTTCATCAGCCACGTTTAGCCTTTAGTGTGCATTTACTTGAATTATTTCATTCTGTTAAAAATGGATTAGTGATACGAAATATGCCCAATTCTAATCTCTAATGAAGGATTTTCTAATTAGATTGTATTTGCACAAATTGCCTATTCTGTAAACTTATGCTCATAGCCTGATCGTGGAAGTGGTACTACTCATTTCTGTCCCCTTTATAATCAGTGGGTAGGATCGTCGCTTAGACCAATGCTGGAGTTGTTATTCTCTTGCAACAGCCTCGAGTTCTTTCTTCCTGTTTGACACGAGGTCTCTAGAATGTTGTTTCCATGACCTTCCTATTTTTGATGCATTGAAACCCAGTAAAGTGAAGGGCAATGCATTTGAAATGCTGCTCTTGACTCTCCTCTCGTCAATGTGAAATCCTATATGGAGTATCTTTCGCTTTAAGGCATACTATTTGTCATTTTGGTTATGTTTAAACCAATATGCCTTTAGAATATGAATATTCATGAATTTTCGGATAGAATTCGCATCCAGCATTGTAGAATTAACATCTTTTAAAAAGTTGAAAATTGGTTTCTGGATTTAGCCTATCTTTTTGAGTTGGTTGTAGAGTGTTGTTGTCAATTTCAGGGGGTTATTTGCATGGACCAAACTTGCCTAGTGTCCTTTGACGCACGCGAGAGGAGCAAGTTCGTCATGCAGCATTCACATGTCACCACTTCTGGCTGCAATGATACTAAACTCTACTTTGAATTGCTACTTTTCATCCGAATGTGAGTAGGGTTTCGAGATTACCAGTAGAGTTCCCTTACACGAAATAGGGTGAATACATCTCATTATACTTTTCATCATCCTTGATTAATGGGAACTCCTGATAGTTGAAGCTACAACCTGCTGCCAAGGCAGTTTATTTCTGTTGAGTAGCTAAACGAGACATGCTTATCGCTTGTGGGTTAGTAACTAAGATGCATTATAATTTTTGCTTGATATTATATTGATACAAAGCACTTTCCAGCTAAAGAGGGGAATCCCACACCGCCCTGCCTCCATTATTAAGCATATTTGTCTTTTTAAATTAAAACAATTTCTCATCTTAATTCTTTTAGTTAGGCCCTTATTAAAATTGGATTATTTGCGTAAAATGAGCCTCCTCCAGAGCCATGAGTATAGACTTGTGTGAATAGGCCTTCGACACATAAATCTAGTCACAGCTCCGAAGCGATTCTCCTTCAGCTTTCAGTGAGGCCAACTTACGAGTCCTTTCTACTCGCCTCTTCGAACGAAGTGAAAGCCTCTTCAACATAAATTTATTAGAGGATTTTTCGAAACCCATTTTTCCTATAAACCTAACCGTGTACCTAATCATTTGTTTTTTTGCATGGCAAACGGACAAAAAGGAGGGTAATTGTAAGAAATGAACGGAACACAACATATTCGTATCTAATGTGTTGTAACGAGTACTAACAAATTATTTATATGAGATGTACTGGTAGTCTCGAAAGCCTACTCGAGACTAAAGCTAATAAGTCATTTGTTCAGTATGCCTGAAATACTTGGTTATAAATCCGACCTAACGCACCTCGCATCAAATTAAGTTTGATTTTATGTACTAAAACAAAGCACGATTTATGAAGTAAGAATCATTGGTCAAAGGGAATGCAGTTCTCGCATTACCTGACATACATTTTCTTCAATTATTTCCAGAATCCGATACAATGCAATTGCACTATGAATTGAGGAATATAATATGAGCATCATATCCATGCGACTTCTCCGGTCTCATGTTCGAATCAGTCCTATTTTTAGACGTTTCTCCTACCTGTGAAGCTCACAGCCAAAGTTCGATGGATAGAATATGCAAATTAGGCCATTGTGGACTATCAAGGATCTTTATCTCAATGGGTGCTTTTATCACTAGAACTTGAATTTGTACTCGCTCTGGATCATATGGACGTCCCCGACTGCAATGGAAACCAGATCGTGTGTGTAAATTGACGAAGCTTTACTACTACGCGCCACAGCAACGGGTGATAGAGGCTCATACGGAAGATATAAATTTAAAATCCTTTGTTATATCCCACTTTTAGGGGAGTTGCCGATGAAACAAATTTTTATTTGCTATTGGAATTGACTACTTTACGGGTATTCAGAATCGTTTAGGTTCATAATTAATTGGGTTTATATGCTATTTGCCGGTATTAAATACGATCAATCTAAGTGATAGAGGATTCATTGTTGAATAATTTCTTTTTGTAGGCAAACAAACGCTTCCCATTTTGGCCTAATAAGAAGGCTTCTAATGCATCTAATATTCATGCTCCGTGATCGCTTTTCAAAACTATCTAATCTTTAAGTTTTGTTACGATTAGTTTTCGTTACTCTCTGTAGTTCTTGAAAATGACTCAGCCACCTTAGCTCGCCTCAGGTGATTTGAAGTCTGATAGTATAGCTTTTCTCACAATGAGATAAGTGGACTTCACAACGACATTGAATTTCACCTAACATTGCTCCCAAAAGCTATTATCCTTCAGACTGGATTAAACTGTAATTTCGACCTCGTCTAGGCCTCATCAGCATCAGACCCAGCGAGATTCGATACCGTCCTTTAATTTATTATAGCATAAAAAACTACTCTTATACAATTTAAGTAACGCCGTCTATTGCACTGGTAAACACATGCTGGCTTAATCGACAATCTCACCATACAATGTGGACTGGACGAAGCATGGCCTGTGTAGAATTCCGCTAGAGGTGCTGAGATAAGTTTGCGACGTAGAGACTCCAGTTCACCCGATGTCATTCGGAAGCAATGTCATCCTAAGGACTAATTGTCTCATTATGAGCAGAGTAGTCCTTATGAGTAGCATTTATATCGGCCTCGGCGACCCAGCGTGACTAATCTATAATCATTTAACCATTTCACATTGAATTCTTATTATATTTGCTGAAATCTTGCTGTCATCTTTTAAGATTCCATTTTTTCTTTCATCCCTTCCCTCCAGCCATTCTGTTGATGCTCATAGATACAACATTTACACTCGGGCTTTGCCATTGGCTTTAGCTTTAGCCTCTCTCGATCCCGCCGATTCGTTGCTTCCTACTCGCTGCCACCCGACGGCGTCATTTCCTCTTCCTCGCGGCAATCTCCTGCCCGTCAGCCTAGGCCTCAGCCTCTGTCCACGCTGCAATCAGCATCCATCTGCAAGGGCCCTTGCTGCGATATGGTATCAACTGAGACCTGTTGACCTTTTAGTTGCTCTTCTCGAGCAATCCAGTCTGGCCGATGCAAGCAGTGCAGTTGGCATTGTTGGGCATGTCGAGGTATTATTTGTAATTTGGACCGATTGTTCATTTCCCTCGCAGAAGACTTCAAAAATATTCACACATTAAGCAATACTATTAATTGTTATCAGTCATTCTAAAAGCAAAACTGTAAAGATTATACACATTTGCTTAAGCCTAAATAAGGCATAAGAGGATGTTGTCTCGTGACTTCAAAAAGAGGATATAAAACATTCTAATTTTGAATCACCCATCAAGCATGCATATGTGAAGAATTAAAATAGGCTGAGAAAAGATAATAGAAGTTGGGCACAGACTAATCCAGAAATGATAGGAACTCGCCTCATTATATCGAGAAACGGAAGTTATTAAAATGAACGTATGAGATATGAAAGAGCCGGGAAAGCAAAATGAAAATGAATGCAGAATGAATAACCCAAAACTCAGAGAAATACGAAATGTATTCATCCTATTTTATTTAATGTATTGAAGGACTGTAGTTGAATTTTCCCACAATGGCATGCGTAGATCTTACACTTCCATTGCTTTCGCAAAAGCTATTCTTATCCCTACTGAAGTGGACTTCAGTTTCGGCCTCGCTTAGGTCTTGTCAACACCCCATCGGGACTCGAACCTTGACAATGCGGCGTGTGATCTTGACATGCTAAGCACTCCGCCGCATTACCACGAGTACTCTTGGGTCACAGGGCAGACGTGATTTTCAATTAAGGCCAGGTATTTTCCACTATCACATTCTTTTGCGAGGTTTTCGATGAAGTGAAGTTATATTTGCTATAACAATCGACTGCACTACTTATTTTCGTTTATAAGTATCACCTTAAACGTCTGACTTACTGGTAGACTTGAAACGAAATGTGTCTTTATACTTCTCTTCTGAAGATATTAATGCTGTGTTGTGTCAATTTGGGAAGTTGGCTTACACAAATGCCAATAAGCAGGGGATCTGTAAGGTTTCAAACAAGCCCTCCATGTGATGTCCCAAATCGTCATTCAAAGCGAAGCTATTTGCCAACACCGAAAGAGTTTAGTCCCGAGACTCTAGCTTGGCTATATCAACAAAAGCACAAGCGTTGCTTTTTGATTGAGGTCACAAATTACGGTGATCCGTCGGTTTAAGTGTCGTTAAGCCACAGGATGGATTGAGGATAGTGCGTACGAGAAGAGCAAGCCACTGGAGGAGAAGATGTACGAAGTGACAGTCTCCTGCAAACAAGGGGTTAACGATGGGGCCCAAGTATTGGCAGATAGTAGGATATCTAGAATTTCTGTAATCATAATACCTACATTCGGTCGAAGGTAAAGCTGAGATGGAACCATTTGACTTGGGCAGAATTTAGGCAACGGAGGCAAAAGTTATAGGCCATACTGATGCATATTGACAATCTCATCAGATGTATAGTTTAGTTCGATTAAGCTCCGCCAAGCACTGCTTACATGCTTGTCAGGCAGCCAAATGGAGCTCAACATGCTCTTCCGCATTTCACAAGTTTCCGGCCATACACAATTTGCGTCCTTTGGAAAATCTCGTCTCTCGAACAGTCGCGAGAGGATACTTCGGCAGTAGATGCTAAATCAGTTGTTCTTGATGTCCGCAATCCAAGACTGGACTCTTCCCGATTGCCGTGGAACACTCCAAGTATGAGAAAAAAGGCTATTATCTCATTCAGTGCATCAGTTGCTTGCGGCTAATCCGGTTTGCGCACTGGTAGCATACAATTTAAAGCGTACAACTCTGCCAATCACGTATGTCATCAAACAATGTTAAACTATGCTAAAGAAAGAATTTAGATTCGTATGCGAGTAGGCTTTCGGGACTACCAGTACATCAGTGTAATAAGATGTATTCACCCTATTTCGTGTAAAGTGATGAAGAACTGGTAGTAGAATTTTCCCACAATGATATGAGTTGAGCTGACGTTTCCATTGAATTTTACTGAATCCTGCACTGTCGCGGTTCGAATCCCGCTGAGGGTGTTGATAAGACCGATGCGAGGTCGAAACTGCAGT